AATTATATGATATTCCAAATGTATCATTGTTACTGATGCTCTAAGTATCAAATTTTAAAATATCATTTTTCTATTATTGTTCTTCAATTGTATTGAATAATATATTCAATGAAATAAAATATCTTTTCTTTTTCTTTCAGTAATGTATTATATCGAGTTTAAATTTAACTGATAATACAAAAACTACATTATCACAAACAACTAGACTATATATCAGGGTTTTCGATTATATAGGAGAATATGATTCATTTGATGCTCGAGTTTTGTTTGAATTTATGGAAATTTGGGAATGAATCATAACACCATTTGATATATATCTAGTCATTTAATTATTGATGTTGACAAAACGATCAATTTATTATAGTTACTGTTTTACCACGCACCAAAAAATCTCAATCTTGAATATATTGCCCAATCCTTATTTATGTTTTGTTAAGAACTCTAAGAAAATCGTTATTTGGACATGTAAATATAAAAGTGTAGTATTAATGTGGAGTTGTATATGTTACAGTGATCGAACCAGCAAAAGCTGGTCGTTGCTTTATACCATGTGTTCCACTGAAGTACGAAGGTCGTGAATGTTTCCATGACTGTGGAGTTAAGGGGTACGATTATGGAGACTGTATTAATAATCGATGTTGTTGTACCTATGATAATAAGTAGTTATCCTCTTGATATTTGGCGACTTGGGTTTGAAATTTTAGAAGAAGATGAATATTTTAATGAAATAAAACACATTTTTGTTATGTTAACAACTTTTTCTTGGTTAGCCCGTTATGAAATTTTATCCTCACACATGTTTTTTACTAAGATTTCTCTTCGAAAACCGAATCGAACCACTGGCATTTCGTAATGTTGTCATAAGAAGTAGAATGTTTTGATATATAGCCAAATGAGAGACGATTACCAACTAACGACGATTGAAGAGTTTCTTAATTTTTTATGTACTTACTCAGTAGTTCATGGACAATGTGTATATCCAATAAATTTTGAAACCATTTCATTCACAGTAACTTAGTTATAATCTTTATCACAAACAATTAGATTATATATCATGATTTTTCAATTATATAGGAGAATATGATTCGTTTGATGCTCGAGTTTTGTTTGAACTTGTGGAGACTTGGGAATGAATCATAACACCAATTGATATATCTAGTCATTTAATCATTTACGTATGCAAGATAGAATCATGATTTCGAGCCTCATTTTTGTGTAACCCATATGTTTTTTTTTTTAAATCGAAACAACGTTGTTTTGTATAACCGTAAAATGCAACGAAATTTAACATCGTTGATTCATTAT